CATAATCCTTAGGTTTCAATTAAAAGTGTGAATTAATTACCAGTAAAGTTCTTGTTTAAGTTGCTCAGTTATCTATGTTAGGTTATGTTATCTTCCTCTGGAAATTTCACAGGAAAATTTCAGAGGAAGATCAATATTTCTCTTTTGATCAAGTGCAATCCTCACTAATTTTCCAATTTAGGACCAGTCTAGACTATGGAAATGGTAATTAAGTTATTTTTTCACAGGATTTATGTGTCTATATTAAAAATTAATTGACACAGGCAAAAACAATGGTTGAGTTGCCTTGCTTTGGCAGAGATGAATAATAACACCTGATGAGTCAACTTCACCTGTATGGCACCTGGCAGGGAAGATACATTCCCAAAGATATTTTATAGACCCCACATAGCTGCAGGATATAAGCCAATATTAAGTATTTTTTAACCAAACTCACAGGGATAAGAAATAAGGCTTTATCCTAGACATCGTGAGTACTACAAAGCCGGGAAAAGAACTACCTCTTTGAAGAGGCGAACAGCAATGGAGAGACAAGAATAAACATCTATTAACACATACACACGCTAGGAATAAAAACATACACATTAATTCTATATAACCAATGACAGATTGGGACTCGGCTCAGTCAGGAAAGTGTGTAGGAAAAACAGATTTTCATATGTTGCACCTGGCCAAATGCAGCTATTCTAGGCTCGGGGCTGGAACATACAGGAACACAGCCAGGCAGTACACTTGGAGATAAATCGTGGCCTGGATGTACAAGGCATAGTACCAACCAGAATTAGCCACCTGAGTCCTGGGCATTATAGCTTCTGTACCACAGATGGGAGCTCATAAAGACCTGCACTTTTCACTGGGTTATATATAAGGGAAATTGGTGGGAGGTAGATTTAATAGGGAGTATTCTAGAAACCCAATTTATTCCACAACAATGAACGATGCATTCAACAAGGGAAAACTCACTGAATGCCTATACAATATAACATACATTAACAAAATTATAAAAACAGTCTTAACTATCTGTAATATATAGAAAGGATCCTTTTAATTATATGTTTACTTACAAATTAAACTAATAAAAACAAAATTGTCTATCTTAAATTAACATTAATATATAAAGACTCATGCCACACCTACCACTATTAATCTAACTGACCACTGTTGTCCCCCTTAGGTACAGCAAAATGAAAACACAGATGCAACAATCACAGACACACATCCAGATAGGATAATTAGAAGAAAATGAAACTATTGATTCTGAGGTTGCAGTTCCTATATCTTAGTGAGAATAATCTACTTTCCCTATTTTTTCTGCATCCTGACAAAGAAACTACTTATGAACTCGAATGACAAATATTACTGATTAAACATAAATAGTGATGACAGAGAGCAAGACAGGCTTTATTTTGGGGTGCTCAAAGCAAAAATATAAGGGATACTTTTTTTTAAAGTCAAGGAGGTACCAGCCAGAAGGAACTCTGGCTTTGGAGACAGGCCTGAGTTCAAATACAGGCTTCACCACTTAATAGCATTGTGACCCTGAGCAAATACCTTAATCTGATCTTCCCTTTCTTTACCAGAAACCTAATAACTCTCTTAAAAGTTATTATAGGGAATAAACATATGTAAGTGCTTAATATAGTGATTGACACAGAGAGGAACTGAGTGGTGTGTCCATAGGAGCACAGAAAAGCTTCCCTGAACAGAGTAGAATTTCCAAAAGCAGGGATTACACTTTGGCATCTATTCTAGAATGAACCTTACATTTTGGCCAACTCATTAAATCCTGACGAGTGGCAGGTAATGAATGAAATTTAAGTACCTAAGTAATAGTAATTAACACACAAAAAGAGCTTGAAAATTATTTTCAATTTTTACTCTTTGATGTAATTTAGAATTTAATTTACACTTACTGTCTAGCCCTGTGGGTCCTAACTTTGTCTGCATTTCAGAATCACCTAGAACGCTTAGAAAATAAAGCTGCTGGAGGTTTAGCTGTAATGAACCCAGGTTGAGGCCTGGGCACCAGTTTGTCAATCATGTTCCCCAGGTGATTCTAATGCACAGCCAGCACTGAGTACCACTAGAATAGCCAATCACACTTGAACTATTTTTAAAGAATTAGAGTCATTTGTGTTTACCAGTAGTAACTCAAAACAGCTTCACCCATTCTGATAAAGAACCTTTTGCAGTCTACTCAAAGTTGTGGCCAGCATTTCCAAGTCACTTCTTTCTTTAAGTAGAAAAATAACCAAATACACAATTAGCTGGCAGAGATTCAAAAGATCATAAATCAACAACCTTCTTTAAGCTAAAAAAAGGAGCACTTTTGCTTGGATAAAAGTGAGCCATGCCTTATAGCAGATTTCCTGTGTAATCGTGTAAGAGGGAAAGGTATTTAAAAATAATTTTTTCTCCTTTTATTCCTTTTTGTTCTGAACCTATAAAGAACAAATATAACCACCTGAAAGATGGACCTGAGGCAATTCTGCTGATTGTCTGGTTTTCTTGTTCAATGGAAATGTGGTATACTCCTCTTTTAAAGAGAGCCACAGGTATTGGAGTGTGCTGGGTGTCAGGTCGGTTAGCTTGGAATTCTTTTCTAACTTTGCCTTGTTCCACTGAGTGACCCTGAGCAAGTCATTTAACTTGTCTCCCCAGTCCCGTGCACCCTTTGTAACATGCAATCTGCACACAGTACCAGGTTCCTAGAATTGACATCGTGTTCAGAGGCATCTTACCAGTGTGCTGCCATCAGTCCAACGGAAGTCATGCTCAAACATCTTGTCATTGAGGCCTATCCACTGATAATCATGACCCACGCCTAGGAGATGGGAAAAAACACAGATATTTGTACTATTTTCCCCTATATGGATGAAAATATATCAAAGAAAATTATTTTCAGAGTGAGTCATGCATCCTCTTTTCTGGCTGATTTTTTTTAGATGCTCAAAAAAATCTCTCCTAGTTTATCTTTTGTTATTCTGCCCAATGTGTTTGAAACTAAAAAGCTAATTTGCAAACATTGTGAAAGATTAAAATATCAGACATAGACAACAATTTCCCTAGCAGTTTCCTGTAATTAAATATTTTTTCATTCTTATGAGAGAAATTTTCCATTTACTTTTTTTGTTAAGAGATGACATTGGCAAAGGTTCAGTGACCCAATAAAATGTGCCAGATCTTCCCCATGCTGCCCTCATTTTGGAAGCCACATGTTTCTTCTCAAAACATTTTAAAAAGTGAACACCTAGACCAGACAGACAGTTCTGCAAAATTATCTTCAAACATTTTTTATTTTACTATGAGATGAGTCACTGGCAAGGATATCATGCAATAAAGTTAAATGAACCTCTACTCAGATTATAAATTAACAATCAAACTTCTAAAAGATAGTACATATTTAATAGGACATCAAATGATGCTTTAGGAGCAACAAATTTCTACATATTACTACATAAATACTAGTTTCCCTCCTTTTTGCTGTAGTTAAGAAATTATTAAACAGCTCTGGTATTAAGTTTCATTAGCTTTTAATCTCCACCTAGTCATGTTCTTAGTATTTAGCTCACTTTCTATGGACTAAAATAATTAGAAACTTAAATGAGAACCAATATGCCCAGAGGATAAGATTAGGATGCTATTAATTCAATTTTAATTTGCAGGATAAAAATAACTGAAAGCAATTTTCTCTTTAATTTTAGGCAACACATGCAAATATCAAAATTTTCCCATAAGTATGGTAAAAATTATATTGAATCATAAGAAATGGTTGTTTTTGTAAGTCAAAAATACTAAAATAGCAATTTCTTATGATTCAAGCATGCTGTTTCACCAATTATTGCTGGCAGACTAAGCAATGCCTTCCCATATTACAGTTGAATGTTTTTCAAAGGGTGGGATTCACATAGGTAAGATGATTTTAAGTAGTTCATCGATGGGGGATTTAATAAACTGAATCAGCACTGAGAAAGTGATGAAAATGAGTGACGTTTCAGGAAACCCATGTCTGTTTGGTACATACGATTCACAAACATTTGTTCTTCGTGAGACAGGATGCTTGTGAGATGGGCGCCCTGCAGACGACATTCCCGTTCAGCTGCATCCCAAGTGCGTCGGTGGGCGAAGTATTTGTAGCACTGCCCTTGGAATTTGTGCCAGCCGTAGTCACATGTCTCAGTGTCTGGGAAGAAACAAGGCAGGAGCTTATTAAAGTCACCTACGTCATTCAAACTTGGCTCCCCAATCCAAGTGCTAATAGGATACGCAAGCCAATATCTATGCAATGTCCCTGAAGTAACTGATTCATAAAACTTGGTCACAGTGACAAAGAAATGATTTTCAAGCCAACCCAACTGATTCATGTGAAATGGGTGGCTGTATATCTTTGGACTGAAAAAGGCAATATCTAACAGCAACTTCCTTGATTAAAGCCAGAGAAAACTGGAGGAGGGGCCTGCCAAAACTTCTTAAGCTGCAGTGTCTGTTGACTTGCTTGTGAAGCAACTGGGGCTAATTCCTTACCAACACAACTTTCCTAAGAGAATCATTCAAGTGATAAGATAAGAATTCGGCTAAGAGGATTATGAATGCTCTATTTGCATAACAACTTTGAAGGTTCTAGAGGTAGTCCTTTCCCACTTCCCAAAGAGATATCTGAGAGGTCACCAGCTCCTGTCAAGTAAGATTTACAAAGAGAAAAAAAAAATCCTGCATGGATACCTTCTGGGATATAGCTAGAACTGTGTATGCCTGCTTCCCAAAAACAGAGAGAAAATAGGTAACTCCCAGTGCAAATGAAACAACTTAAGTTATTTAATTTAGCACTCCTCTATTCCACCCAGCCATATATGTATATGTTTATGTGTGCACGCATGTCTGTGTGTGTGTGTCTTTCTCTTTTTCTCTTTTGAAATAAACACACCATAATGATATTCCAGTGGGATGAAAACATTTTTCAAATATATCTAAATTTTACTTTGGAAGTAAGCTTCAGCTCCCCTTCCTAGATTGCCAGTTTTTATGTATTTTCAAAAGAAAGTAGGCTTACTCATAGTACTGTATAGTGCTCATTGGCAATGCTTCCTCCGACTCACTGGTCCATAGGTGGGGTTACACCGTATGTTAAATAATGATCAATAAAAATAATTCTGACTATCACAAAATATATCTCGCAAATATATTGTAGTAGTTACATGAAAAAAACTAACAAAACTGCAAAGTCTATAGAATTTCAGGCACCAAGAAAATCTTGCAGGTTACCTAATAAGTACCCCCCTTTCCTAATTTTACTAATTGATGGAAAAAACACAACCCCAGTAGATTAAAAAAATGCATGTTTTATAGGTTAGATTTGGTGGCCAAATTAAAACTCAAATTGCTTCCTTTCACTTCTTTTACTCCTTTTTCTGTAATTGTGGGAAAGTACACATGCTGAGAGATTTAATTTTTTTCCTGGCTGCAGTGATTTAGACCATAATCATGCAACAGATGCAGTTTATCTCTGAGAGCAGTCTTTATTTCAGTTTAGTCTATCAGGCCTGTTGTTTAGTTTCAGCCAGCTGACTAATTGTTTTGAGTGATGTGTACTGGAAGTTTCAAGTTTTATTAAAGTGTTGTTCGAGACCATCAAATCTCATAGGAAAGGACTCAAGACACAACTAGACAGTTTGGTACAAAAGTAGCACTTTAGTGCCCCCAAAATGAAACAAATTTTGGCTACTTGCATATAGGATTTTTCCTTTGGGAAGCTCACTTGGAAAAATTTAGAGGTCGGTTTGGAAGTGTAGGGAGGACACAATTCTTCATATACGAGGGAGTTAGTTTACAGGGGAGGAGAATTGGAAAAATTTTTAGAACACTCTTATTGCCAGAGTCAATAATATAATATTGTGATACAATAGCTTTCTTTAACTTTGGAAATTATCATTTATTTTAAGACACACAGTATAAACTTCTAGGAGTTCCTAACTTCTTGAATAATACATCAGAAAAAAAATTTTTCTATACACTCTTTCTTAACCACTTTTAACTCAAATGGTTTTAGTTTGGTTTTCCTGTTAGTCTTTTGTCTTTAAAATAGGTTATTATTAAGTATGTAAACAAGAAAATCCAGATAATCATAAAATTTAAATGCATGATCACATCATTGCTACAATGCCTTTCTCAGTTAGCAGGTGCGTATACTCATATCAGAGTACAGGTCTAAAAATCGGGGCAGTTTCTGTTAAAACCAAGCTGGGAGAATTTATTTATCGGCACTATCTAAATCATAGCTTTCCAATGATTATAAATACATGTGCAAATACCGCATAAAGTGTTTTTTTATGTGAAAAAAAGCCAAATATCCACACAGATATACTTAATTTTTATTATTCATGAATTCAACAAATATGTAATGAAGAATCCCATGTCAAACAACATCTTCCAGGATGTTATTCTGATACAAGGTATCAGAAATAGTCTATCTATTTTTCCAAATTTACCAAAAAATAATGTGAAACTCATTTCATTTATTAAAAGGCAACTCTTTTGGATGACATTTTCTTAAAAATCATTCAACATATGGACAGATATCTTATGCTTTAAAACCATTGCAGTGAGTAGGTTACAATACAAAGTCCCTGATTTGCAGTGTGCACAACTCCTGTTCATGACTACAGAAGATGAAACGATCACTCTTAAACAATTTCACTAAAATTCTATTCTCTTTATGCTGTACAGGTAATGTTGTCAACACCTCTGATATATAACTGGCATGTCTTAAGAAATTGTCCACCTTTCCACACTTTTCATTGGCAATATGTAGCATTGCCTTTGACTGGGGCAGTCTGTACGTACAAAACTGTCTCTCTCTCTCTCCTGTTCCAATAGCCCTTTCTAGATTTTATATCTGTTATCATTCCCCAAAATGTGCCCCCTATTTCAGAGTTACTGAGACTTGGGAAGTTGCTAGTGCAGAGAACAGAAAAGGTCAGCTGAAGAAACAATGACACAACTGTCACCTAACTTTGGATAGAAAACTGGTTAGACAACAATGCTACTGTTAATGAAGAAAACATTTGTTCTTAAGCAACCTGAAAAGAAGAGAAAAAGATCTTTCAGTATCCTAGCAATGAATCACAGGAACACAGCTGCATTGGGTAAACAGACTGGGATAGATGTTTCTCAGAAAATAATGTGGATGAAAGTTAAAGTTTGAAAATAAAATAGAATGTACCTAAAAGTCAGGTAGTACCATAAATGAAAGAAACAAGTTAAAAATTTTGCTTTTCAATATCCTTTCTAAAAGAGAAGAAAAAAGTAATTGGTCCCAAAGTCCCTTCCAAGAATGTTATCAATCAATCCACCAGATATACATATAAATAAAATATTTATCCTTGAGGGTTACTTTAGAAGCATGAAGACATCGAGATAAACTTGGGCTTTAGAGTTAAGCCACTTAGGCTCACTTTTCCCACTCTCTGATCCAGCTGTGTTACCTTGAACACATCACTCCTCATCTCTGAGCCTTAATTTCTAGCCTATTTAATGCACAGGAATACTGTACCAACCAACCAAATGAGATAACGTACCTGGACACATTTGTTAAACTATAAAGTATTAAACAAATAGTATTTTTAGTCTCTTTTTAATCTCTGCCAAGAGTTATGCTAAGTCACCAAGATCAGGAACTTTGTTTTATTTTCAGTTCTATATCCACTGCCCAGAAAAGTGTCTGGAAGAAAGTGCTCAATAAATACAAGTTGAACAAATGATTTTTTGAATCACTCCTTGTATTTGGAACTAAGGGAAGGCAGAAACATTTTAACATATTGGCATGTTTCCAGTGTCTCATCCTTTTGTTTTCTTCCACAAATGACATCTTTCTTACTATGTTACTTTAAGAAGAGGATCATGCTTGGTCTATTTTCATATTTAAAATCTAAAACAGACTCACCCTATGCAATTAAAAAAAAGAAAAATACAACACCTAAAAATGTAGCGATCACCCATCCACTTGCAAAGGCAATTCAATATATGCCCTTTTTAACTTTGCTTTCATTGTAGTGACGTCCAGATTAACTCCACAAAGCAGAATGTGGGTCCAGACTAATGTTTCTGAGTGTCTAATGCATTTTCATTTTGTCTGGTGGGACAGAAGTTTGGCACTGAGCACTTTTATCAAAGCCAAACCACTGTATGACTTTAAGTAGAGGAAATAGACATTCCAAAGCTGAGTGTGCTGAGCACGCAATCTGTTTCTGATTGATGGACTAAGAAATGTTACCATTAACCACCTAAAATACACTCTCAGGTTGGCCATAAAATGCAAATTACAGGGATCATGAGATTCATACCATCATGAACATGGGTTTTTCTTTCATTCAGAAAAAAGTAGATGCTTCTCTAGTAGAAAAATTTTCTAGTGAGTAGAATCATAACATCTTTTACATAGTATGTGCCATACCATGGCTAATGTATTCTAACAACTATATCAACTCATTCTCCAGATATGATTGACTATGAAAAATAAGCCCATTGAGTCTCAAATGCTAAGGAGGAGAAAGCAAAGACAACTAACATTGAATTCAATACGCTTTGGTACACAAGCCACATTGAGGTGAATTCCTAGTTTGTCCCTAGGAAGAATACATACAACAATATTCCTTGTGTTGACTAAGATGTCTTTAAATTCAGCTCAGTGTGCCAGTCTGCAATTCCAATCTAACAGCAAAACAACCACAGTTAGTTAACACTATTTTTCAAATGTTTCAAGCTACCCATGAATAAGGAAACCTAATAAGTTAGGTAACCTGTGAATTTCCTCTATAGGAAAGAATATGCAGGAAGTCCAAAATTGCTAAAAACATCAGTAATATTCACCATACAAATGTTGCAATGGCTCTTACCTTGTTCACAAAGTGCACCAACATAGCTTGGAAGGCAGAGGCATCTGAATGTGTTAAAACCATCAATGCACGTGGCTCCATTCCGACAGGGATTGGAATGACATTCATCAAAATCTGAAATAAAATTGTAAAAGCCCACAAAAATACTTTCAAAAATAGATCAAAAAATTCTGTTTAGTGTGAGGTTACCAGATGAGATATGGGATGATCAGTTAAATTTTGAATTTCAGATTTTAAAATGTATAATTTTTTAGCATAAGTATGAACCATGCTATATTTAGGGCACACTTATACTAAAAAATATTATTTCTTGTTTATCTGAAATTCACATGTAACTCGCCACTCTGTATTTTTATTTGCTAAAGCTGGTCACTCTAAGAAAAATTCAGAGATATTCAGAGTAGGGTCATTGTCGCCATTGCTACTAGATGAATCACACGAGCCCTAAAGCTGATGAAGAATCCCCCAAGCCTCCCACCTCCAATCCTGGCTCATGCTCTGATTGCCCGTGTGTGGAATACTCAAAATATCCAACTGGCCTCATTGTTGCTGGGCCCTTTCATCTCCAATATATCCTTCACTCTGCTGTCATCTTTTTTAGACACAGTCATGATAATTTTATTCTTTTGCTTCCAAACATTCCATGGATCCCAATACCCAAGGCAGTGGTCTTCAAAGTGTGGTTCCTGGACCAGCAGTATCAGAATTGACTAAGAATGTTAAAAATCCACATTTCCAGTCCTAGTTCTAGGCCTACTGAATGAGATGCTCTGGGGTGGGGACAACAATCTGCATTTTACCAAGCCCTCTAGACGATTCTGATGCATGTTACAATCTCAGAAGCACTTGACGAGAGTATGAAGTAAAACTACTCAGTACATTGAATTCAGGACCTTCTCACACTGTCAGGACCTTTTAGACCCAACCCGCTTTCTGGAATTCTCTCCCAATAAGTCTCCCTTCTCCAAACTCATAAGTAGGCGTACTTGGATACTTGCAGTCACTCGACCACACTCTGTACTTTGTGGTTTCTGTGCTTTTGTTTGTTGTGTCGGTGTCTCCCTCCAGCACCTATCAAATCCTCCTCAACTTTAAGATATACATCAAATGTAATCTTTCTACACAGACCTCCATGATCTCGTCTGATGAAATTAATGACTTAATTCCCATAGCATCTTGCAATTGCACTAAAAATTTAATTAATGTTTATATTAAATGAAAAGAATATTTTAAAAAATGAATATACAAAGCTAGTTAAATTTCCAAGAGTCATATAAGGTATGTTTACCTAAAGAAATGGTCTTAGCAATGGTATTATACAAAAATAATACCACACACTTTTATAGTGCTTGCTAAGTGCCAGACACTATTCTAAGAGTTTCACATATATTAACCTATTAAATTATTTTAATTGATTTTAATATAAAACAGACTGGGAGCCAGATAGATGCTTTTATATATATAAATTTGATATTTAAGATGTAATTATTCCTTAGATGTCATAAATTGCTATCTTTGTACTCCCAATAATTAGTACACAAGTAGAGCTCACTAACTCTGTTGACTTTTTAAAGGCAAGTATGCTTTTAATTTGAATATTGGGATTTTATCCCAATATTTCTGTGCAATTTAAAGTGTTATTGGTGGGCTCTCTTTGCTTAATCATTGTAAGCAACCCTTCAGGGTACCTCTAAAGGGAACATCTGAACCATATATTCCATGATTCCTTTCTCAGAGGTGAGGTCTATATTTAGCCAAATCAAAACTAGGGCTTTTTTTTTCTTTATAGTAAAGGATGCCTACATAAGAATACAGGAGTAAAAGGAACTGATTAAGTAAAGAATCAATTATATTCTTTGGAACCAAAAGAGAGGAGGGGCACAGCAATTGCACAACTCCTTGACATGGAGACAGTTTGGGCTGGCTGCTGAGAGTCAGAGAAGGATCTTTCCCATTCCACATCAGAGAAAGTTAGCCCAAAACATAAGAACTAAACTCCCTAATTTTTGCTTTTTTCCTAATTTTTAAATATACCTTTCTAAAAAATGCTGTGTACTTAAATTATTATCGATATGAATTAACACTTTTTGTTAATATTTATGCATCTTTACATTTGTAAAGTCTATCTACAAAAACCACAAAAAGACAAAGCTGACCTCATTAAGCCTCACTGAGTCTTGGGTATATTAACAAAATTCAGTAAACATCTGTCCCTGTTTTTCAGACTCGAATGAATTACTCTCAGATTTTAATTTCACTTAACATATACTTTATTTACACATGGGTTTCTCTGAAATCTCTGATTGATTCAACAACATAACTTCTCTCCCAATATATCTTCTATAAAAGAACTGCATTCTTTCAGGCAAGAACATCTTACCAAGTTCACACCGGTCTCCACTGTATCCTGGGACACAGGTACATACGTACGAAGTTTCAGTAGGGTAACAGGTGCCTCCATTAAGGCACGGGTTCGTTTTGCAACGATCAGGTCCTACCAGTTCAGAAAAGTAAGGAAAGTAATTAGGCTCTAAGGTTTCAGTGTATTTTAGCATAAAATGCCACATATTGCTACCATATAAGCTTTACCATAGCAATTTACTACATATAAAAATTAATATTAACTTTACTCTCTGGAGTGTTTCTTGGCATTATAACTAATTGTTACAAATTGCATCTATTCATTTCTGGGATTCAATTATGATTATTCTTTAATGACATTTTTTGTACTGTATCTGACAACTAATATATTCTATTGCAGATTTAGTTGGCATGATAATGGCAATTGATTTTAGTCAAAAATGATTACACATATGTGCACAGTGAATGGAAAATGTATTCTTTTAAACGGGGTTAGTTCATGTGAAATGGCTGGATACACAGAACATGCATTCTTTTTAGCAGGTTGGCTTGTTATCATCATTTGAATTATTATTGCCTTTTACCACTTAATGCTCAGAAACTGTTTTTCTTCGAAAGTGTGCACTGAAGTCTCTTCTGCTACATTAATATGCTTTTTCCAAAAACACGTTCCAAATGTACTCCTTTAAACTATACTTGAAGAAAAGCAACACATGGATTAAACTCTACTGTATAAAACAAACCCCAATACAAAAACCTCACCTAAAAGAAAACCCCAAGTTTTTATTACAATTTTCTTCTTAAAACACAAATAAAAGCAACACTCCTAGGAGATAAATGTAAAGGCCAAAGACAAATTTATGAGGACAAACAGTTTAAAATATATTTTCTAAATGCAAGTACTTTATATCATTTGAAACATGTATTTCATATTGTAGTATTGCTTGGATGACTATTTTCATTCATAGTTTGTATTTCTTCTCTGCATATTATTTCAGAATTGCTTAAGTTTCAAAATGTTCAAGGATCCACATAAGAGTTGAAATTTTTACAAAATAATTGAAATAAAATAGATTATTTGTGGGACATAACTGTATTATTAAGAATCTTAAGTTCTGAAACCCTGAAATAATTGCACACGACAATAAGATGTTTAACATTGACTTAAGGAATATTAGGATAAACAAGGTGCTGCTATAGATGATAAATGAGCCTTTCTCACACGGGAAAATCAAACTCAAACTTTCTGAGTGTTAAGTAAATTCTGAACAACTGGAAAAACTTGATAGATACACATCCTCATGTTTGAGGTTCATATTAAAGTTAGGTTAATTCTGATGCATACACCAACTTTTTCAAAAACTACCCCAATTTATCTAGGACACTTTCTCCTACAGTTCCAAAAATATTTAAACTCTCCCTAGCAATGTTAGCTTCCTGAATTTGAAAGTACACTGCCCAGATGACAAGGCTGCAGTCAACAAACAACATATCTACATCTTGCTCTCTGTGCAGAATCAAAATGAGACTTATATGAAAAGTGCTTTGCAAGACTATGATGTGCCACACAAGTGTGAAGTACTGTTATTATTCCCACCAGACACTAGACACCATGCTGAGACCTTGAGACAAGGACTTAGTGAGTGGATCTTTCTGTGAACTTGAAGTCATTCCAATTAGGAGAAAAGTTTTGTTTTTATGAATTTTATTCTTTCCTAAACAGTTAGTACTAAGCTCTGAAAGTTGAATCTGCAACACATAGACCAGGTAATCTCATATGAGCTGCTGTTTACTGAATTAAGCTAAAGTGACAAATTTGTTTTGTAATGAAGACGCAAACTCTAATTCTTGGTAAATATTGTGGACTGGACAACTGGTACACATTTCTTACTCATTTGTCAAACTTAATTCTATATGTACATGGTTATTATCAATTATTTCTGTATCATAGTTTCAAAAACCTGAAGTATATTTCAACTGAATTACAAAACAATAAACATTGGCCAGATTACTAGGTTATTGTTTACAGATTAAATATAGAGTGACAACAAAAAAATCCAATGTCAACCACCTTTGATCAATTTTATTCACAAAATATTTCAAGCCGTTTATAAAAAGTTGCACTCTCTGACTATTTTACTCTTTCTGAAGCACATCAAAATAAAGCATTCGTTGCACAAAAGATGGTATTGATATGATCAGAAGAATAGTTCTAACAATAGCCATGACATAAAACATATTAATTAAAATAAAACATACTTTCAACCAAGACGGCCGTTAGAGGACTGATTTTTTTCTGCAGCTAGCAGCTAGGTGGTGATGCCTGTCACTGACATTGTTATTTAAATAATAACATTCCAAGAAAACACGATTAAAGCCAATTTCTCAACATTCTCAGGCTAGACTAAGAGTAAAATAAATTCTATTTTATCAGAATGTGAGCTGATCTGGGTTCAAATCCCACTTTTGCCATGATGTGGCTATGCCACCTTGGGCCAGTTATCGAACCCCTCTGAATCTCCATGTCTTACCCTTTTACATAGGGCTAATAATATGTGCTTTTTAGCCTTTTTGTGAAGATCAAATGAGATGGTCTACATGAAGCAGCAATCAAATTCATGCTTTCTGTACATTCAATCAATAAATAGAAAACTTCTCTCAACAGGCAGTATGCAAATATAATAAATGAATACCCACTATGGCTAGGTACTGTTAGAAGCATTATGTAGACTGTCTTAAGCAAAGAAATTGCATAAAAGAATGAATGGATAATTGATATTTTATAAACTGTGAAATATTTATTAGAGCTATTTACTATTCTTAAATGTTAAAGGCCTGACAGATTTTGATATTACCACAATAGCACCCATCAATGGGAGAGTTTTTAAAAAATAGGACATTTTTTTTCCATTTTTAAAATGAAGAAGTACAACTATGAGACATACGACAAAGCAGTACTCTAGTTGTAAGTCAAAACAAATCAAATTTGTATACCATTAACAATTTCACTTTTTCTATGTTCCAATTGTATGTTATTTCCTAAACCCAGAAAAATACAAAGTATTTTTGTATATACTCTAAAGCTCAGAAATAATCTATACCTACTTTCATTTCATTTCATGATGGACTCAATGCTGTGGCCTGGCCTGCTGTTATGTGACCAATATAAAAATCTCCACTGATTTAACAGCACAATAAAATTATATACATATATATGTTAGGACCAATGGACTGTTTCCAGATTTGGAAACAGATTTATCAATGTTGTGGACTTACCTGGTAAATAGATTGCTGTGCCTTCCACTGACTCTTCACTAATGCCGATCAGGAAATCAGTTTCATTAGAAGTTTCCAGATGGGGAAATGGTGGTGTTGCAAGCTCAGTATTTAATTCCAGGGTGCTTACTGTTGCCTGATTATTGGAATCAAGAATTCTCGCTGATACTTGCTGTTCTGCTGATGCTGCTGTGGAATCCTCCATTCTGATAAAAGCTGTTTGTGTTTCAGGGTTGATTTCCAGAAAAGAAGAAGGAATGGTGGGCTCTTCAGAAGTCTCTGGGCTGGGCTGAGGCACTACACCTGCCTCAACCCCAGAAGGAGCAGAAGCAGAAGTAGCATGTGGCCACTGTGTAGCACCCTCTAAGTTAATTTCATTGGCATCTGTAAGAACAGTTCCAGCCTCAGGTGTTGGTGTTTTAACACTGGGAACCACGATGATTGTTTCTCCAAAAAGTTGACCGTTGATTTTGTTATGGAAATCTTGGAGAATCTCAGTTCCTTCCCCAGCAATTAATTCTGTGGGAGAAGCTTCCATTTCTTTTAATAACTTAGGTTTACTTTCATCTTCTGAAGGTTCTAATTTTGTGTCAGGAGATAAGGATGGAGGCTCAGTTATGTGAAAGTATTCTTCACTTGATGGTTTGAAAGTTGCTTCAATATTTGCATGAATTTCCTTAAAAGAATACTCTGGGGACATCTGAGATGAGCCAGCATCTATACCTGGCAGAGCACTTGGCTGGGGTACTTCTGTGTGTTCAGAGGCTCCACTGCCTATGTAGGTAGTGAGTGGAGACGATGGTGTCTGAGAAGACAACTTTGCAAATGCTGATACTGCTGAGGTTGTATCAGTGTAATATGGGGAACTGGATCCGTCCACCACATTAGGTGCCTCTGTCAGACTCTGAGCCATAACGTGGACAGTACTGATACTTACATAGGGAGTATGATCTATCAATGTCTCCTCAGCTCCTGAAGAGAATTCTGGCTGAAAAGAAGGACCTGCGTATTTCTTTTCTTCATACTCCTCCTTTGTCCCTTCCAAATGGCCTAATGTTGATATTATTTCACTTTGGTCTGCAATAGCTTGACCATCAGACAAAGTGCTTGATTCAAAGATGTCATCCAGGGCTTTTGCTTCAATTTTTGGTTCTTCAATCTCTGGATTCTCTGTGGCAGACTTACTAGGAATGGGCAGGGATGTTGCTGTGGGAAGTAAAATATCTAATTCTGCTTCCTTGCTAGGAACAGGGATCTCAGTTGTGAAGTTAAAGCCCTTATGATCTGATTGGCTTCTATCTTTAGAAGTCATTGATTCATTATGTGTTGCCTGAGTGTAGCTAGCCAGAAGAGGATCACCAGAGCCCTCAAATGTTTCCTCAGTTAAAGAAAGGTTAACAGCTGCCCCATACTTCTCTTGAACTTGAGTGCTTTCATCATTACCGCCATGTGATCCTGACGGTATCTCTGGATCTATGTCTGTTTGCATCCCAAGGATGTCTTCATATACAGGTTTAGTGTGATCAATATCTATGATAGTATTTTTATCTGATGTCAGCACAGGTAAAGTTTCAAGGACAGTTCTCTCTGTAATTGTCAATATTAAATCCTTGTCCTCTTTGTCCAGATCTATAATAATATTTTCAGTGGGTTTTCTTCTGCTGGGTTTTAAGGTAGAATCCTCAAGTCCCCTGAAATGGTCTTGAAAACTACCTGTGGTAGCATCTGTGGACCTCTCATATAACATTGTATTTGACAGTATGCTAGTTGGATCAGGGGAGCTTTGATTCTGCTCTGAATGAAGAGGCAGAACCACTGGAACTGTTGGGAATTCATCAGCAGTAACAGCTTTAGCACTTGGCGCCTCAGGATGTTTTTCCAGGGATCTATCAGAAACAAATGTGATACTTCCTTGTCTGGTTGCCTGAGTAGTTCCAGAAGTGTGAACTGAATCAACAATAGCCAATTCTCCAGATCCTTCTCCAGAATGTTCATAAAATAAGTCAGTTGGTTTTGGAGCTGAGGTAACAAATTCTTTGGCCATGTCAAGACCATAAGGTCTATCCAGAAAAACAGAGAAAGAGGTTGCTGTTTCTTTAGTTTCTGCTGTGGAAGAATTCTTGTTAGAGTCTCGTTCAGTTATAGTTTGTGGTCTACTAGTCCGGTTTTCTTCTGCCCACCCGAGAGTCTGATTCTGAAGATGTTTGCTGTCTGTAGAGAAAGGAAGAGGTGTCATAGTGGGTCTTTCTGCTCCAGTGTCACTTGAAATTTCTATTAAGGTTGTGCTGGATACTGCCTCACTACTTTCAGAGCTGTTATCTGTTTTGGAAATGAGTGGTTTAACTTCATTTGCCACATTTTCCACTCCCTCATAATCTTCAGTTTTATCACTTAAGCTGCTTGTTTCTAAATTTTCCACTTGAGAAGTCTGGGGATATAATGTGTTAACAATTTGTTCCATTTCAGTAAAATTCACTGACACTGTAGGTAGAGTAGGCAAAACGTCTTCTCCTGATCCCAGTCCAGAGAATAAGAGATCAGTATACGACTCTTTAATTGTTGGTTTCATACCTTTCGGAAAGAGTTTTACACTTTCTTCCTCTTCGATTGATGAATCAGTGACCATACTTTCAGCTGGTATAGACTCAGTCACTAAGGCAGTAGCTAAGGAAAAGTGTGTTTTTTCAGTAGCTTCAGGGAGAATAGTATATGATTCCAAGCCCTTTGCATCTGGATCTGGAGTAGACATGTTAACTAAGGAAATGCCTTCCTCCTTCATTTCCTTATCAGTACTGTAAGTTTCCTTTGTTGTTAGTATAGAATAATCTGTGGTTTGGCGTTCAGTTTCAGTAAACGTTTGTGAATCGAAAATTCTTTGCTCTGGTGCAAGAGAGCTTCGGGGGGATTCAAAAGACTTTTCTTCTTGAATCTTTCCCTCTGATGCTGTTTCACTTTCAATTTCTTGTCTTACAGTGTTGACTTCTTGCCTTGACCATAATTTGAGTGGCTCCATAGTTTGGGGAAAGTTCATTGAAATTGTGTCATTGACCTTTACTTCCCCCTTTTCTGTTGGAACTATAGTACCTTCAGCTTCTACTGTTGGCAAAACAGTGGATCTTTTATCAGCTTCATTGATAGCACCCACTTCTCCCAATCCTTGGTCAATAAATGGGGAATCTGTACCAGAAAACTCCACAGCACTGGGGAGCACTGGGCCAACAGAGCTGCCTACTATGACCAGTTGCTCACCTGAACCTTCAGCTGAGGCTATGAACTCTTCCCACAGCAAGGCTGAAGTGCTGATCGAGGTGCTACTGGGTCCCTCCGAATTAGGTGTGCCACTGACACGAACTGAAGTAGGTATCGCAGATGGTGAAATCTGGATATCCCTAAATGCTGCATCCCCGGAGCCTTCCATTATCACTATTTCTTCTTTTGTGATGGGATGAGATACTGTTGAGTATTCTCTAAAGTCACCGCTGAAATCTTCCCCGAGAGGAAAACCTGTAGAAAAGCCCCTTATTTCTGCCCCATAATTTGGTTTTCCTGATACCTCTGAAACCAATTTTTCCTTGGATGTTTGACTTATAATTTCTTCAACTTCTCTGTCTATTACAGTACTCAAAACTAGTCGTGTTGGCTCAGAGGAGAATGTTTTTTCCACATGGGGAGACAAAGTGCCAGCTGTTTCCTTTTTGGTTGGAATTTCAGACTCTATATTTAATGAAAATGAAGAAAGAGTGGTGGTTTCTGGGACACCAGCAGCTTCTCCAGAGCCCTGCTCCATAAAGAGAGAGAAAGTGCTACCTGGGAGAGTGGTCAGCCCCTCCTGGATCCCAGGTTGACTGCTACTGCTGTGCTTGGTAGTCTGTGCCCGCAAGTCTTCTAAAACATTTCCTTCTGTAAAGACAGGGGTAGAACTTGTCATTTCTCTTTCAGACTGCGTGGGTGTTGTCAAGGACATAAAAGTCTTCCCAGTAGCTGAATCACTAGATGTAGCTACATCCAAACTTTCTAATTCAGAGGATAAAATGAGTTGATCTGATCCCTGTGTAGGTGAATGTACCTCAACTGCAGAAGCTGTACCTGTAGGTCCTTCTTCCTCCTCTTTCCTTTTCTTTCCCTCAAAAGATGTACTGAAAACCCACTTGGAAGTGTCTGATTCACTTACAAGACTGGTAGGCACCACTTCTGCAGAAGGTTGTTCAGAAACTGAATAAATGGTAGTCGCAGGAATCTCAAAAAGGTTTTCCGTGATAACTACCTTGCTGGTGTCTAAAGTAATGATTGTATCTGTAGTATTTCTCTGTGATAAATCTGTTACCATGGTGAACATTTTATCTTTGTATTCTTCTACTTCTCCAGAGCCTTCTGCAATTGGAACTGAAGAACTCCCTGAGACCTCTACAATTTGTCTAGGGGTTATTTCTATCCAGCTTTCACGGGTAGACAATGGGTCATTAGGCTGCAGATTTCCTAGTAGGGTAACTGATCCTTCCTCTGAAACACGTGCTGACATAGAACTTGGAACTACAGTGGGAGTATACATGATAGAAGTGCTTTTTTCTGCCACTTCACCAAATGTTACATCTGTGGCCCCTGAAAATACTATTTTCTGAGATTCTTGGTCAATGGCAGCCTCTCCTGAAGACTCTTCAGGAAACAGAGGGACAGCTTCAGTGTATTCATGCACCTGATTGCCAAGTTCAGGACTTCTCTCTGTGATTGATTCTACACCCTCTGTTGCTTCTGCCTCATGGAAAGGGGATGTGGGGGAAACATCAGTCTCACCACCTGAAAAACTTTCTGATGTTTCAGGGTAAGTCTCAGGCTTCCATGTAATTTCAAGATATTCAGTTGTTTCTTTAGAATCACTAGGTTGCATAGCAGTAGACAATTCTGTTTCGGCTATTAGAAACTGATGAGTGTCACTTTCAGAGCTGTCTGAGAAATTTTGAGAAGGTGCAACACTTTCAAACTGGCCACGCCTAGCTTCTGCAGCTTCTGGGTCCTTGGGCACAGTGGTAATGAGATGCTTCCCATTGATGTACTGCACGGAGGGGGTGGTCGTGACGTCAGTAGCATTTGCACACTCTTCATCATCTTCTTCATCCTCTTCACTGTGGTATATATCTATTTCAATTATATCAGGTAAGCCAGGTAAAATTTGAGCAATTAGATCGTGATCTGGGTCTGTTTCTTCACTACAAGGTTCATCTTCTTTAGATTCTGAATCTATTGGATGACCAATTACACTCAAATCACTCATTCGACCTGAAAAAAACAGAGTTTTCACAATACTTAAATAGAAGATTTGACAGTGTATGACAGAAGAAATCGATAGCAAGGCTGGTCACACTCACACACACAAAGAAGGATGCAAATCTTTTCACAGTAAGTGCAATCACCCTCCTAAACATGGTTCTCAGTCTTCAAATTTGCTGCTTTTACATTAACAATAAGAAAAACAAATCCAATTTAAGATTATAGAAACAGGTTATGAAAACTCTTCAACATGTTTAAGAAAACAACAAGGCCCTTGAAGTGCAGCAAGGAATCACATATACATTGCAGTCTTGAAATGCAGAAATTCATATTTGTGTGAACTGCAGAAAAATTAAAAATTCAGACCATTTCATATAGAACCAATTTAAAAATGACAACTCAAGACCATTTCATATAGAATCAATTACTTTTTCTATATGTTCTATATGAATAATTACTTTTTTCTATATGTTCTATATGAATATAGAAAAAGTAATTGATTGTTGTCTTTTATGTGAGGGAATAGACACTTTCTATTCAAAAAGAAAATGAGAAGAGATTCCTTCTGCTCTCTTTATAATCTGTCCTAGAGAAGATTGTTTTATAGAAAAGTAAAAGAGAGGTTTACTTACAGCCTTTCACAACACAATGACAACCTCTACCCACTGTAGTTTAGCCACATCCCATACACAAGATCAGCAACCCCAAATGGGAGAGCTCTGGTGGGGATAGCTCACTGAAAGGCCCAGGGAGAGGCTTCCATACCTTTATACCTTTATCCTTCCTGGGATGCAACCTGGATCAGGTCAATTTTAGTTCCTGTTATTAACATTTTCTCCAAAGTGCAAAAGTCACATATAAATATTCTATCTAGCACACTTCAAATAGCATATATCATCAGAACATTCCCTACATTGTAAATTGACATACGGCACCAAACACTAAGCCCAGTTGACTTTTCTGCTAACAGAAATACATCAGCAAAACTCTTTGTCTTAGGCAGCAGGAAAGAGGAAGTTCTGAGGCTTCACCTCCATCACGATGGCATTCAACTGTCCCAGGAAAGGGTCGTGCCACTAGAGCTGCTCTATGTCCAGTGACGGGCAGTGCAAAAAGGCACCTGTGGATATGCTGACCCGTAAAGAAGGCAAAGGATTACACAATGCCTCACCATCTTGCCCAAGGACATAATATTGCAGAATTAATTTTCAGACTAGCCACAATTCATGCCACACATTCATAGGCTGAACCTGAGAAGTGTATAGGAGAAACAATTATGACGGAGCCAACCCAGCCCCACATGCTCCCCCATCATCTATAGCGGGGAAAAAAATAGCTTTCTCCTAGATTGTTCGTGTTGCAAGAAGCTACTCCGTTCCTTGTATGGAGATACCAACATCTAGCATTTACTGTTAAGTCAGAAAAGAAAAAATCCTATTGAGGAAGAATCAGTATCACCTGTATTGTAGTTTATTATGCATCAACATAAATATGGAAGTATATAAACTATCAATACAAAGTCTACAGAAGCTCCTTAATTGTTTTTAAATTTAAAAAACCAGACCACAAGACTTGTATGTAATCGGAAGACGTATATTATACATTTATGCCGTTTGTTCTAACAAAAACAAGAAAGAAAACTCCTCTTTGTATCCCACGATATCCTCACTAAATTATCTCACTAAAATACTTTTGTGTAGGGCTGGGTTATTCTCACCCTGTGTCCTTCCCACTGAACTTTTACACATTACAGTTCATTTCTTATATCTTCATTCCATTCCACCCTATACATTTCAGCTTTTCAACTATGTAAGCTAAGGTATATGAGTATTCAAATGAATGAAAAAATATTTCTATCATACAGAGAAGTGAGATCAATACTATATAACTTTATATAACTCTAGTGTATCGTGTAAACATAAAATAATTACAGATCATTTCTGGCACAGCTTTTGCAACTATTACTAATTGCCAAGTTTAAGGAAATGATTAAATGCCTTGCCTTTTAAAAAATATAATCAAAAAGAATGTTTGTTCAATATTTGGTCACTAAAGTTGTTACTCTGACCTTATAGTGTCCACGATGTATATGTTTTAAAAGGGGACAGAACAAAATCTTCAGATAATAACATCCTCTTAATACAATTTTCATTGATGGTAGGTTTTGTGCTATGAAAAAAGAATGTGAAAAGAATATTTAAAGCTATATGAGAGAACACATCAAATGCCTTTATACAAATGAATCTCGTGAAATATCATATCAATAATATTATCTAACCACCAATTCAAGTAGCCTCTCCATGCTAATACTATTTGAGTAATTCAAAATTAGCTTAATTAAGCCAGACTCAGTTAAACTATTCTGTACAACGTCATGGAATTTAACTGGAGTTTCAAAAGTGTACCTATCTTAAACTGCTCATGCTATTATTTTATATGCAACTCTTTTATTTTATTTCATTAGGCTTAAACAAAACTAGAATTCACTATTAAGAAATACTACAAACAAGTTCACTAAATTCCTATATTTAGTGCATAGTATCTTTCACTTAAATATAGAAAAAATTTTAAATAAGAAACATGTGTCAGTATCAAGCATATAAAGAATCCCTACCAGATTTTGTAACTTTTTATAAATAATGGAGTAAAAACTAGCCATTCAGCTAGAATTCTGCAGACAAACAAAAGGGTAAATGAGAAAATAACTGCTCAGTACTGTATATTTATGAACTAACTCCTGGCCAAGAATAGGGCAAAAACACTCATTGTTATTATAGATTTGTCTTGGCTTCTAGATAAATTCTTTACTTTAAAAAAATAAGACTGATATAAATATATTCCATGCTCTTCTTAATGAATAATTACACATGGAGGTTCTGTCAAGTATGATGTTGGTAGCTCTAAAAAAGTGAGGTAGAGAAAAGCAGAGAGAGAAGACACTAAGGTATACCGATGCATCACATGTCAACATGGCAAGAAACTGATAGGTGGTCATCAATGCACACTGAAATGTTTTTTCTGGGAAAGAAAATACAGAAGAACTCTAATTGTAAATTAGCAATTAATATAATTTAGTTAACTATCAACTCATATTAAGTCTACTTAATTCTATAAATGAAAGACCATAAGACCATATCATTCACTTAATAGTCTCTGATTTTAGCTCCAGTGAACCAAGTATAATATTCTTTTAGTCTGTGTTCCACTTGGATGACAAACTCTAGCACTTCCTATTGCTCCTAAATCTTTGAGGACTTCTTTAGCATTTTAGATCATCATATCAGAATATTTCACCAAAAATAAGCAACTGGTAGATGCAGTATATTCCATTCTCTAACCTAAATAAATATTAAGAAATTTCAATCACAACAACAAAAAGCATACCAGAGACATAAAATTTGCATGTGTTTCCCAAACACAGCACTGCTTCATACTGGTTTGTGTACACAAAATTAAATTTATTTCCACAACCATTCAAGTCACCCTAACTATATTGTCTTTCCAGTAGCCAAATGATTATGCAAAATCTACTGAGTACCTATTATGTATCAGGCCCTAGGGAAGACACTCACAAACCAACTTTATAGAGACCCAAGTATACCTTCCAGTCTCTCCCTGCACCCCTCTCTCTCTCTATCTGAAACAAATCTTCTTGCCAATAACTTAGAAAACTGGCTTTACTAAACTCTTTTCTCCCATTTTAAAGGGAGTGTACATATTTCAAAGGTACCAATCATAGAATTTAGACTAGGATTCCTTCCTCCACCCACCTCTCAAGTATCTGATCTAGCTTGCCTTCAGAATGGTAGAAAACAAACATATTAAGCAGTTTCATTTTATGTTTATCATTGTATCATGAGGCTGGCAATGACCAAATGACTATCAGCACATCATAATAAATTTGATCAAGAAGAAAATTTATATATTATCATATATATATATATTTATATATATATAAATAAGATAATATACTCATTTGATAAGTATTATAAAAATTTTCTTTTTTTAAAACAAATTTTATTGTGTATATTTGAGGTTTACAACACGATGTTATAGAACTATATAGATGGTAAAATGGTTACTATAGTGAAGCAAATTAACACATCATGACTTTTTAGTTATAAGAGCAGCTGAAATGTACTTATTTAACAAAAATCTCTAATATAATGCAATTTTATTAATTATAGTCCTCATGTTATACATTACATCTCTCGAAAAAAATTTCCACTAAATGGGAATTCTCAAATAAAACAAAGATGCAAAAAGAGAGTTGAAATCATTTTGTTTTCTTTTTATGAAAGGAATAGTCTCACAATCAAGCAACTAACATTATTGTTTAAATAAGTTGTGTCACCTTCCAAATGGTTTCATTAGATTACTTAATAAGGGGTTTGAGGGGGGGAGAAATGCTAATTACCAAGGGCTTTGAAGTTAAATTTTTCTGCCAACAGATTCTCTGCATATCAATCTACATTTTATTCTGTTAGTATAACTTGCTTGTTCCCAGACTTTTAACATTTCATGGTTGTAGAACAGGTGGGGGTATAAAACTTATCTACTATATATAGATAGGTAAATTCTTTCCTGCCAGGTCACCCTAATTCCTGTCACTAACCCATTACATCTCACCAAATTCTACTTGCTGCTTTTTGTTTATTCACCCTCTGAAATTACCTCTTCATCTTCCTTTCCTGTCACCACCCCCACCCACCACATACATTATTAGAGAATTGCAACAGCTATAATTGTTGCAAACCAAAAAAGTTTCTTTGTCACATGGGAGGACACCTGTGCGGTTGTGAAAGGAGGTATCTCATTCCGAAATGGTGATCTGCTGTAGTAGCAACAGAACAACCAAATAGAGTGATTGACATTCCAAGATCTTAGATGAACAAGTCCTTATAAAAGACTGCTCTATTCTAGAATTTTACTCTAAGGCTAATATAACTTTTATTTGGATTTCAAGAGTCAAACCACAGAACTATACCAAGTGTATGTATAATCTTTTC